CCTGATGATTGTGCAACTTTTAAATGATAAATTTAGTTTATCTTGCGTGCGGGCTATTTGGCGTATATCATTCAAGTGAAGCTGAACCTTTGGATAATATTGCCAATAGCGATTGATGGTGACAAGGATGACGAAGTCGTGCCGATGATAGACATCAAGAACCCCTAAATGCGCTAGGAAAAAAATTGACATTATATATAATAACATAATATATATATATATATAAACTAAGTATTTTTTTCTTTCTCTGGCTGTTCGTCATCATAAATACGTTCTGTTACCAATCACGTGCAACCAAAATAATTATGCGTAAATTGTAATGCTGACTTTTACAGTAATTGTTTGGGTTATCTATAGGCTGAGACCTCTTGACACCTGCGTCCTGCTGCCCGTGCTAAGACCCATCATTCATCGTTAACATGAAAACTTCCTCGACTGCACAAGAAAAATTTAACCGGAGCATTTTAAGTGTGTTTTTCGTCGATATTATCACACAACGCCTCTTTACTCGGATCGTTTTTGATTTAGTCACAACTGTTATTGGGTTCTCGTCACGCAACCTCGGCTAGTCGCTGTCAATATGGGTCATTTCGATTCATGTGCCTATGTCATCATTAGACTTCTTTAAAGTATCATTGATATTCATTTCGGCACCACCCCCGTATTCATCTCAGCTCATTGTATCTATGAATACCGTTCTTCCATCTTCTTTTTCTCTAATCTTCCTTTCTTACTGCTATAGACAACTATAATACATATGACGATATCAGCGTCCCTTATAGTGAGCCTACAGGCCAAAGCATCACTCTTCGACAGTCTTCTTCGCATATCCGATGCATCCGGAACAGCGCCAGCAGCCGTTATGCTGAACAGTGAAATTGCAATCGCCACCTCAACAACAACAAGAGCTCAGCGCTATATATAGATCGACACGTTCTTCGGTTTTCTGTTTCCGCCCTATCGTTCCGGTATTTCATGACTCCTTTCGATCTACAATTTTCGGTCGGCATCAAATTCTCGGTCAATTTCGGTCGTTTGAACTTTGGATCTAGCCTAAGTATTGACGCTTCATCCTTCGCGTCTACCAACGTTTAGTTGTGTCTTTCGACACTTCTACTGCATTTTCCGGATTTATAATTTTTGTTTTCTTTGCGCCTGAGACGAAGAGGCGTCGTGTTAGAATGGAAACATTGCGCGCCATCAGTTGCTGATCGGTAAAGATTGCTAAGTGCTTTCCGATAAAAATATCACGCGTCTCTAGAAATTTATCTGATTGGGCTACGTCCGAATGATACTGACGCTTTCGCTAACGACACACTTACCACAACCCGGTATCGTGGTTGGACACCGAGCTATAATTAACCCAAGCAGTACGGCAAAATGTGGTAAAATGAAAACTCCCCTGGAGACGTAAAATTGCTAGTCCGCTAGAACAGCTATATATATATATTCATAGGATGATCCACGAACGTCATATCTCATTTATGAGATATAATGTTCGTGGATAGCTGCGTAGTAATTACGGTGGGTGATATTATCATGAGAAATCGCGGTAAACGTTTGCTTTGTTGCACAAACGTCAAACATCCACCCCACTGAATAGAAACGAACGATATACCATTAATAAGAAGCAGGTTCAGTACGTACGCAGGCATAGTCAAGATTGTGACCGTTCGAATTTTTCGTCAGGCCTTAACGATAGTGCTGGTACAAGCCTGGCATAATGCGGTAACGGTCTGTGTAGGACAGGATTAGTAAGTGCCTTTCGGACCGACAGGCCAAATGACGTACGCGTTAACTTAACAAGCATGGACTGATGTATTGAGATTATGCAGGAGTCTCGGTGCAAAATTGCTTTTATTTTGCTTGCTGTTTGTAGCTTCGATGGCTTTCATCATTCTACCACTACTTAGACTGCTATTTTGGAAGGTAAGAAACCAGTTCGCCACATTGAGCTGCGGGTTACTTATCAGCGTTGCCACAACGAACTACCTAAAAATGTGGAACCTTGCACTCTTCTTCTGCGGTCTTATCAACGGAACAGCGAACAATTATGTTAAAAATTGAGTTTGGCACTTGAGTAGCAGATTTGGTATCTTAAAACAGAAAGAAAAAAAAAAAAAAAAAAAGAAACGAAACGAAACGATAACGTTTAGATTACGTTATTTTGCCTGTACTATGGAGATGCGAGAGCTCCTCAAAAGCGTATAGAAATATATATCGATTAAATGATTTAAGTTGCACACGTAGTCTGAACAAAAGGTGTAGGTTATGACAGTGTACTTAATTACCAAATATTGAGCCCAGCTGGAATAAGTCACAACTGGGAATTGTTTAAATCAGAAAAACGAAAAAAGAAAATACTCAGAAATATGGCAGTGACGAATTTTATTTTTATAGAGTTTTTACGCCGGTCGACCAAATGATAAGCAATCAATTTTATCAAAGATAACCGTACTTTTGCATGAATGGAGCTTATCTCGTTCGAACAACAATTTGCATTAGTGTGCGCCGATGGGCTGTAGCAGCAAAGCCTGAATTTCGGGCCTCGCTAGATTCCGCAATTATAATCAATGCGACATTGCGCACTAACCTTACAATTACCAGTAGTAATTTATAGGTTACAGGTTATAGATAAACTGAGCTAATATTTATCCGCGAAACGTTCGCTCAACTACCGGAAAATTGGCCTCCATTTATCAATAGCATAGCGCAGTAGCTCGGTACTGCGCACCGATTTCTCAGATAAGGTACAGCGCCTTAATAAAGACTGCAGTAACTCAAAACAGGTTAGAATTTGTTGTGCTGGACAAGCCGTTATTATTTAGCTATTACGTTCTAATATAGATATTAATATTGTACCCGTCGCCATCGTTGGCCGTCAATAACAAATAGTCTAAAATATAACCTTTAATGCACTACCAGGATAAAAATGCAAGATATTTCAGCAGCACGGTCCGTAAAAATGTTACCCGTATCCGACTGAGCAATCAACAAAGTCCGCTGGGACAATGTCATTCTCGGCCGTACACTGCGGCTTTGTCCACTGTAATTATTAACTCAGTAAACGACCAAAGCCGCATCCCTCACGGCAGGTCTTCGGGAAGAACCGCTATATTTGCTTACTTGGAGTACTCTGCGGGGCAATTTTTCAGCGATGCTCACAGCACTTACGGGTGATGCTACTTGTCCTTCGATTAAGCTAATCGATCCTTATCCGTAACTTACTTTATGCGAAATTTAAGTCGAAAAGTACGTTGAAATGTATGAATTTGGGTGCAATTTCTTGCGACTAGAACAAGTAGCATATGAAATAACGATGTCAAATAGCAGGATAGAATAGAAGTGAAGTTACGTCAGGCTTCCTGCTTCGTTAAAAACTGTCAGATTACACTGCCCTAAGTATCTTATATTGTATTAGTGTAGGCCTCTTGAACTTTGAGTTAATTTCGGTGAGTAAATACTTCAGATCTCACTTGAAGGGGCGCTAGAAGCTTCATCCGAATCGAATCGCCAGGTGCTTATAAGCGTGAGCTGCCAACCATTAGGGGTACTGTGGCTAGAATTATCTTCCAACCCTAGCCTACGTGGTATACCTTACCAACTGGCAGTCGCAGAACGGCTATTTTTGTATAAAATCATCAAGCAGACTAAGAACATGACGTTCAACGGTGGTAACAATAATAATAACAATAACGGTTGCTTCCGGGCATTCATAGTTAAACTGATAAAAAGCATAAGCAAGTCAACAGGTTAGGATTAATTAAGTGATAGGTGACTGGCGATAGTACACTCAACAGGACAAACAATTAAATTAATGAAGACTTTTAGGTGTACCTATAGCAAAAGGCTACCCTATACGCCTTTCACGGTCCGTTTTTTTTAACAATGCCAGCCGCTCCTAACATACTAAATACTACAATGACTGAAGTTAACGATAGTGATAATGTTACGTTCATCAGTTTAGTAAGTTGATTAGACGAAACGTGCATCCCTAATGAACCGAATTTTCACCATTCTTCTTGCACAAAAACCACAAAGGTACAGCGGCAATGAGGTGTTCCCTCTCCTCGAAAGGGTTTTATATTATTATTATCATCATCCTCATCATTGTCGCAACTTCAATCCGCTGCAGCGAATAAAATAGCTCATTTATGTATATTCATCTCATCATGTCCTGGTCGCATCGAAAGCCGGACACGCAGGCAAGCAACAAAACAATGCTAAGTTTATGCGCTGATACGAATAGTGCAAGGGTATGTCATCACCGCTCAGCATGAATCATAAAAACACCTTGACCCCATGAATAGCTTGAGTCAGCAGAGCTACCGGTGATTTTACTTCGGTAGTGGCAGTTACCATTGCGATTGAGGTAAGTCTCCAGCTCAGCCAACTTAGCGCGCCATGGTTGAATAAGCGTCGGCTTTGTCAGTGATAAACGCTGTTCAACGGCGAGCGGCAATCGATGTTCACGCTCAATCACTGTAGCATATGAGATAGACATCTCTAAGATCTACGTATAATAGTATGTGGGTATAGAATAGTAGTGAGGATCGCTAACGGAAAGCGTTGGCGTCATTGGATGCTTTTCAGAACGTTACGGTAGTGGTACAAATTTGTCACGGTAGAAGTTAAGAGAATGCTCGAAAGTTCGCAACTGTACAATAATAAAAAGAAAGTTAATACAAATATTCACATCAATGCTTTCTGAGTCAATGAGATGCTTTTATGGTTTGCATCAATAATCCAGTTGAATGATATATATGACGACTAAGCTAATTGTAGGTATATGCCGGCAAAGTACGAATGATAAAAACTGCCTCATTTGCACAGCGTTTTAAAGTATCGTGCCCTGAAAGCGTATGATCTAGTTGTAGAAATCTGCGCACTACTTCTAGGCTGTTCCTGCGAATGCCTAGGTCCGATGGCCTTGAAAGGTTCAGTAGCAAGCGTTCTGAACAACGATCGGTTGAATATTCTCCTTATAGGACAGTACTCACCTCTCACTGAGAACTGATGCTACCTCCTTCGTAAAGTCCGAACCGTGCTTCACAAGTTTGCGAAGTTCTTCGAATCCATTCGGACCCTGAAATAAGGTTCAACAATGAATTATTTAATAACTATAATTCGTTTCCTAAAAATGAACAATTTTCCATTAAATCATGCTTCAGTGTTACACTGAAAGACTTGTTACTATGTTTTTTTCTAGCGTAGTTGAAAATGTATACAATTTTAACAAATCTGGGATGACCTCGAGGTTAAATAACTTCGATAACTATACAGCTACATTTGATCCATTGGTGTTTTCATATGTGTTTTTGTCAATCAACGATAGATCCTTTATAGCAAAAATACCCCCAGTATTTTCCTGTTTGCTGTTTACAAAGAACAAGCTTTGTGCGTATTTTTAGGCATATCGTTTCTATCGCTGGTTTGAAATCTCGAAACACTTTGGGACCTTTAGCCTTGCTAGTCACACACAAATTCAGTTGAAACACATATAACAAATAAAGCCAACAAGGTTGTAATAAAGCAGTCTACTTCATATGTTTGTTATAACATATATAGTGGCCGCTGATGATCGCGCGAAGAGCTACTGCCCAATAGGGTGTTTATGTATAATCATTCGCCCTTCACTCATTGCATTCTGTAGACAACTAATAAGCTTAGTCAAAACAGGACAAATAGATAGCGGCTGAATGCTGTTAGAAATAGTATGCTTAAGATGCAAATGTTCACGACAATTTATTTCATGGCTAATTGTTTATAGCAAGGATGTTACCGTACATCTACTGCTCGGATGTCTGCAAACATATCCGAAAATAAACCTTGTATTCATTCATAAGGCTCATCGGCTAGTTAACTATATCTATGGATACTTCATGCGGTTACCTACTGAATGTCAAGAACTAAATTTATTGATAAGTTTTCGATACTTTTCAGCGTTCTGCCCACTAGTCCACACAGACTTATGTGTGGTGATGGTGGTCACTCCTTTATATCCATCTCACTGCACAGCCTATTTATAATCCGTCTGTTTAAACCTCACGCATCACAGTCTTTACCATAGCAACAGTCCAGTATTTGTCTCTTTGTGCTTTAAGACTTGGTTCCCTCACTTCATTCCTCTATTTTTAACACCAATTCAACGCTATATGGAGTTCTTGCGAAGGCGCACATACACTTCCCAACCAAACATCTTTTATGGCTAATCAATGTATTGTGCAGAGGGACCCAATTGCTATTCGATCGACTCACCTCCCAACAGTTGCCCTACTCCATTTAGAACCTGATGAAGCACCCGTCAAGCTATTACCGAGCCGCTTACTTACCACGCTAACGCAGCCTTAGGCGATCACAGATAGATCTGGCACAGAATACACATATCCCATACTCCCATAGTCGTGACGAGGGTATGCGAAGTTAGAAAGATTCTGCAACGCGGAATGGCCTAACAAGCCCCACCCAATGCGTCTATTCGCCGAACGGCTAAGCCGGCCTCAAGGCACAATCGTAACGTGTGCATACTAAGCGCACACGTAGGCATCCATCTGCGTTACTTCTTCACTATGTCAGGGTACTACTACCATCGCAAACGGTAAAAGTCAAAAGCGTTCCTATGAGTACCGTCGAGGCTTTGTCCAGTGACGGCCCTAGACGAAGTTCCGTGCAGCTCAATTCTGCGCAGAAATTCTGTGTAGAACTGAGCTGCAAGAAAACGAAAATTTCGCTTTGAATCGTCCAGTGTCTAGACAGTGCCGTGTATTTTACTATAAATGTACTATTCCGTCGTGACCAAATGTATTTGGATCACCGACGACCAACCTGCACCTCATAATTCTAGTGAAAACAATCGAGGTATAGAAGCGCGTTGTACTTTTTCAATGCCGCTGTTCGGCATTGTACGTTGGGCTTCGCCGGACTCAAATCGAAGCAAGGAAAATCTTTTGCAGTTAGTGTATTATGGATGTTTGGTACATACACGGTCGCATAGAACATCTGTTGTTTATATACATGGTGTACTTGAATGAAAAGTTAAATAAAAAAAATATACTGTTGGATTCGCTGATTCGATATTGTTAGAGACGTAGGAAGGCTTTTTGGTCTTGTATCTACTACAGGACACAATCTTCGAATGGTTATACGGTGGTTTTGTTGCACTAGAATTTCCCGAGTGTCTGACAACACATCGTTTTGGTGCAATGCTATTTAGATAAGAAGGAGCTCAAAGTCGACCCATTTCGTTAGGTGTTCGGTCACTGAAAATGGGGCTTATTAGGCTGTCCATATATGATTCGTCTGCTGTTGTCTTCAGTTTTGTTATTTCACGTTTTTCTCTACGACGTTATTCTACCAGTGCAGTTAGCAGATGCCCTTTGAATTTTCAAAATACGCTTTTACTGAAGCCTATCATTATCCACCCTACTGCCAAGGTCAACAACAACTATGCACCAGCATCCGTATATGTGACGAATCCATGTTATTAGCAAATTGATATGTTGTTTTGTTTGCTGGCGATTTCATAGGCCTTAGTTTAATTGACTAAGTAGGCAAAAACTAAGGATCTTATCTTTTAAACTTTGTGCCTCCTGATAGCCTTCTGGGAATATCTCAAATCAGCAACAGCGCAATCCGGACGAGAGCAAGAGAATCGACTATGACGGCGTAATCATCAGCACTATCGTCGTCAGACAATTGCCTAAACTAAATAAATTTTCGGACGATCCAATCTACTCGATTGACTACGGTAGAATCCGCGAGAAAACATTTCGCAGGCAGACGCAGATGATTCATATACGAAAACTGTGCAGTTGTTGATGTAGGATAAGAAGAAACATCCGTCATCCGTTTACCCTACTGTTAAAAAGCAAACTAAACATGTAAAAAAAAAACAACTCTATCGACAGCAAGACGGAACATATCAATGAATTTAATTTTATGGTTAGTTAGTATTTTGACGAGGTACCAACATTTTTCTGCAGATAAATCTACAAATCCCGTCCGCAATTCGTCGATACTATGTGGAGTTACACCGTGTGTGTGTGTGTATATATAATCTCACTGTTCCGGTATTCGGTACGCTTGCTCTTATTATTTGTACACCGTTGCGATATCTCTTGACAGAGTCGAAGCTAATGGGTATACCACGATGTTATACTAGATGCACTCTTCGTTGTGTTGTGGAGAAGACTGACAAACGAGTGCAGGGTGTGTGACGATGCTGGCCGGAAAAACTTTTTCATGCCTTTGACTAAAATGCGAAACCAAAAATAGAGTACTAATAAAAAAAAATAAAAGCCAAAGCTTCAGGCAAAAAGCGCCAGCTTCTGAGCCCTCTGAACGTGTTTGACTCAGCTAATAGAAATACTTCTACGTAACAGTTTTGTTCTGCCAATTTAAACTTTATCTGTTTACAGTTTGCTTCTCTATCTATCAAGTTTATCTTCTTTTACTAAATCAACTTCTCGAGAGATACAAGCTGAGTTAGTTGACATCTTCGATCGTTTGTCACGTTACCACGACCACACAACATATCCTTACCTATCTTTGTCATCGCTACGTCCTATCGCTTGCTTAGTAAAGTAGGCCACAGAAAGCTACTATTTTGATCGCCAAAGGTTTTCTATCAAATCCGCGACGAGTTAAACTAGACAGGATTGCAGTAGTCGATGTTCAGCGATTGACGCTACTTACGTTCTGACCATTGCCGTCAAGCTACTATCATTATGCCGTAGGATTTGCTTGAAATCAAGTGCTGCAACAGCACAACCCCTCGACTTGACACTGAGTCGAAGGAAAAAAAAAATCAATTTACGATATTTCAACAGCCTGAACAGCAAACGTCGTCAGCAATTTTTTTTAGTCATTCTACTTGTCTACACCCACACACGTATCTACCAGTATCTACTGCAGTCTCTGTTATGCCGCGCTGTCCAACATTATCGTAGATTTAGCGAGTCATTTTATTGCACAGCCTGTTTTTAATATCTCCCTTCCGCAAACTTGAACGATGCGCCGATCAACCGGGGGACCTTAAAGGTTAAAGGGCGAATCAACGATGTCAAACTTGAATGGGTGACGTGGTAATCGTCAGGACACGGGCGCCAGTATTAGACGCCAAAAGTAACTGTGATCGTAAAGAGCTAAGCGGGCATGGACAATTATTTGCCTCAACTGAGACATCTATCTACTGTACCATGATGAGAATGAACTGTGACGGTTCTGATCCCAAATCTTAAATAGCCGACATATCGAGGTCGGCGGGAAAGACCAATAAGCATTCGATTTCTGTATTGTCGCCATCATGAAGATGTCAATGTGATCGAGGTGATATCGATGGTACGATACTGAGTTTCGGTCGGAGTGATGATTTATGGATTGATTAAAAGTACGTAACAATTTGACTGAATTGAGATGATTCGCTCATTCTCTCGGTCGATTTATACACTTTATCATAGATTTATAATGAATGTATACGACGGGAACTGATGTTTATGCAAAAGGTAAAACAACACGGTTACAAGGGAACTTGATTGATAGATGATTAATCAAAGGTAATGATATTGCTGATAGTACTGGGTGGCGAACCGAGGACTTCTTAGCAGCTTTTCAATTTATAAGGTCTATATATAATTTACCGTTAAAACAATTCGCTAGATGCTAGTACTGGATTGATGGAACGCAAAGCTAGTATTACTACAAAGTCGATTACTACATAAAAAAAGATCGACCATAAACCGTATTTGTACTTCGGTAATTCACCGCGACCCAAACTGTCACTTCACTGACGACAACTGAGAAAAAAAACAAAAAGGAGCAAAAACAAAGAAACTAACTATGATGACGGACTAAATGTCTAAAAACAAAAAAATAAAACACATATCCTATAAAGAGACTGACGCATCGCAAGATTATTAACAAATATAATAATGCTGTTAGATTCGCACCTTGTTATTGCTGATGATGACGACATTCTCGGCACGTACCGTTTCAGTAATTTATTAAGTAGCTACCCTGTTCATGCCATAAAATTGGTGACGGGTTGACCTCCATTTTCCATTCACTGGCCGTACCGCGTGCAGCGAG